CGGGGTCACAGTTGGTCCCTGTGGGTCTCTCTTGTGGCCGGGGCTGCAGTCCTGAGGAGTCGAGACTCTTTATTAAGAAAAACAGTCCCTGATGGCTGTTTATTCATAAAACCAATTTGCAGCTTAAGGACAAAGCAATCTCCTGAGTTTATGTGATGAAATCCAATATTTATCGAGTGCCTGTGTGCAGGGCCAGGGGAAGTGAATGTGCCCCACGTCCTGCCTCGGGCCGACCTGCGAGGGCACCCGTGGCTGGAGCGTCCGCACTGCCCGCCTGTGCAGACAGAGGTCTCTGCCGTGCGGCCCGAGGTCTCCCAGACCATCCTCAGCATAACTACTCCCCTCCAGAAAGTATTCTCACCAACAGGCGTGCCCTCCTGCCCACTGATGGCTCGTATCAGGCCCCCAGGGACGCCTGGGGGTGACACCCCTGAGCCAGGCCATGGGAAGTCACTGAGGTGATTGTGGCCACCCAGCTCCCCAGGGGCCACCCCCCACCCCCACCCCCAGGTGGGTCCCTCTCCTGCCGCCACCAAGCCAAGCTGCTCTGGCCCGGTTCACGGAATCTTTCCCAGATCCAGTGAAGTGCGCTTGCACACCACCTTTTGGGCCAGGAGTTCTGGAGATCACCTGGCAGCCCCTGGAGTTGGGAAGCTTGGCACCAAATCTGGCATCAGACTTGGCTCCAGGTGCCCCTACTTGAGGGCTGGGGCCGAGGAGTCATACTCGCCCCCAGTCTTGCCCCCCGGGCAACCCATGCCCAACACTTGAGACCTTCTATGGCCACTTGCCAGAGCCCCAGGCCCCCGTCCTGAAGGGAGCCAGGCCAGTGGTGGTTTTCACAGCAGAATTTTCTTGGGGCCCAATGTGTCAACGGCCAAGTGGAGCTTTCCTCCTGGGGGGGTGTGTGGCCCTCGGGGCTCGACCTCACCTCTGCCCTCCCCATTCTCCACAGCTGTCCCTGAGGAATTCCGCAGAGCATAGCTTGGGAACCAAAACCTCTCATTTTACACCCGAGGGAACTGAGGCACAGAGAGGGTAAGCGTCTGGACCAAGGCCTCACAGCGAGTTGGTGACCCACTGCAGGCTGCACTCCATCGTTAACCAGCACCCGGTGTCTCAACAAACCAGCACTAACCAGGGAGATAAAATGACACTGCCCCTCCCATCTCACGTGCACACATGCACACACGTGTGCACACGTGCATGCACGCGCACGCCAGCCCCTCAGAGGCAGCCCTGGCTCTGCACCTGCTCCGGTTGGCCCATGGGTGCACCCTCTGCCCTCACCTGCTCTCAAAGTCCTCACCCTTGCCAAGGGAGGCCAGAGTGCACGCCACCCCATCCCGAGGGGTCCAAAGGCAGCCCACGCTCTCTGCCTGTTTCTGACCTCATTCCTGCCGCAGACGGGGCCGGAGAGGGGAGCGCAGGACAGGGCTCTGACTTGGGAGCCTCGGTCTCCCCACCCTCTCACCATGAGGGGGTAAAGACTCCGGACCCTCCCTTAGGGCACTGGGGGCGAGGAAGGGTCTTCGAGGCCGTCTATTCCCGTGGGGGGTGATTTTCCGCCCCCTCAGTCCCTCCACCGCCTCAACCCCACAGGCAAAGGTGACAGGCCAGCTAAATGGGGGCCCTGGAGATGGAATGCTCTGTGCTCAGTCCCCGGCCTGGCCCGCACAGCTCCCCCCCAGACAGCTGCAGGGCGGCCGCAGCCTCACCGAGCACCCGATCACTCTCAGTGGAGGGAAGATCTAGGCCCGGCGAGAAGCAGAGGCTGGGGCAGCGCTGGGCCTTCTCGGCGTCTGCTGCTGGTCTCTCAGCAGCGGTGGGACAGGAGGAGGGGACGGGCAGGGGAGGGACGCTCCTGGGTCTGTGGGCGGCTGGACCAGTCAGCAGGGCACCCATGGGCAGCGCTTCCCCGTCCTGGGCGCCGGCCCTGCACCTTGGCTGGTGGCTGGAGAACACTCTGTAGAGCGCTCTGCCCAGCCAGGACCCGCACCCTGGCTTAGCCGCACAGCCCCCCTGTGCCCGGAGCAGACTCCAGGGACGCTCTGCGATCACACAGGTGCAGGGGGAGGGATGCAGCAGACTTTGCTGTGAACAGTCGGGGGGTGGGCGCCCTGAGGTGTCCCCCCCTCCGGCCGTGGCCACGCCTGGACCAGCGTGGATCCTCCAGGGACTCGGCGCCCACAGCACAGCCCCCTCCAGCCCCAAAGCCCACTGTGGGGGGTGCGGTGCAGGTGACAACTCGTGACGCGCCCCGTCCTGGCCCGTAAGCTCACCTGGGGAGATGACAAACGCTGGTGTCCTCCGTGACCAGGACCTTCACCCAGCCCTTGACAAACCCCACTGGGTTAACAGCCTCATCTCCGCGACTCACATCAGAGAGGCAGGTGAGTTTTGAAGACACTCGCTGGTCCGTCTGTCCTTTCCCAAACGGGCCGCAGGCACCGAGCCAGGCCCTGGGGCTATGGTGATGGGAAGACTGAGCTTCCCTTCTAAGGAGCAAACCTACCACGGTTCGGGGGCCATGGGCTTGAGAGAGGGGCTCGCCAAACCCCCTCTGCGCCCTCTCCCACTGCCCAGCTCAGACTCTTGGCACCGGATGCCCCTCATAAGGCTCCAGAGCAGGTGAGCTATGGCACCGAACACAACCTCACACCGAACCAGAGTGAAAGGCCAGGGCTGGCTTCACAGGCATCTGGCCTCCTGAGCCCACGGCAGCGGTGGTGCTGGCTGGGCGGCGGGTGTGTGAGCAGCGAGCGCAAGGCGGATCCCACAAAGGCAGACCCCTGTTAGGATTCTGCAGGGTGGGCTCGGATGCCTCTTCCAAGGGTACTCAAGGGCCACGCCTGTGACTCATAGTTAAGGATGCTGCCTGCACTCCTCCGAACAAGGCGGGCCTCTGGGCAAAGGGCAGCCCCGTCTGGCCCTCTCATCAGACCACATCCTGTTTGTGTTGGGTCTTCTATCAATGTGGTCCTCCACACTGCGCCCTCCTTCACCACCAGGTCTCCAATGGAATCCCAGGGTCAGGAATGTGCAACAGTCAGAGCGCGCCACACAAGTGCACCCAGGGGGCCTATATAAAGCAGGCAGAACCCGGGAGCCACACCTCCTGGACAGGGAACCCAGAGCAGCTCTGCCCAGCCCGGCCCAGGGTCCAGCGGCCCTCCTGGGAGCAGGCCTACAGCATGGTGAGTACAGCCGCTCCATCCCCAGCAGGAGCCCCACTCAGGCCCTCCTCCAGGTCAGGAGCTGGGCATGGGCAGTAGGAACCACGGGGACCCACCGGGCTGGGAAGGCCCAGAGAAGCGGAGACAAGCACCTCATCTTGCAGCCCAGGGCAGCACAGAGATTGGCCACAGGTGCCCTCCAGGGCTTGGCCCCTGGTCTTGCATCTGTGCTGGGGCCCAATTTTCGGTGTTAAGTGTCCCAAGCTTCCACTAGGTTCTTGAAGAGGTCCATGGTCCCCCCAACGGGGAGAAGTGTCACTTCCTTCTGTGCATCAAGATGCCCCCCTTCTTGAGACCCAGAGGCCATTCCCAGGTGGATTCATCCACCAGATGGAATCCCACCCAGTCCAAAAGCTGTCTGCATTGCTTTCTATGGGGAGGAAACACCTTGTGAAAAGCCCCTGCTCCATCCAGGCTCCGATGGAGAGGCTTCCCTGAAGCAGGTGAGAGGTTGCTCCAGCCTCAGGGGATGAGGGAAGCTTAGGAGGACTGGGTTTGGGAAGAGGAGGGCTGCTTTGATGAATTTTTTTTTTTTTTTTTAAGCTTTCTGGCTGAGTATACTTCAAAATGTCTTCAAGGGAGCCATTTCTGGAAAGAGCTCCGGGGGGTCTGCGCTATCTTCTCCAGAACCCACTCTCTTTATTCTAGCCTCGGTTCTACGCCTCAGAGGACCAGCCAGCATAGACTCACCGTGGTCGTTACCAAAAAGGCTTCCTTTGCAAGGGAACGAGCAATTATTGCCAAGGGAGGGGCATTTTGGGAAGCTCTATTTCTGTTTCAAATCCCCCATGGACCGCCATCCTTGGGGTAGAGCGGCAGTTCCTGCATCAGGCCCAATTAGACCTGGGCTAGCATCCCAGCTCTGTCACTTACAAGACTGTGACAAGTTTGGGCAAGTCACCTGTTTTAAGACCGCTCCCTCCTCTGTAAATGGGGATAAGGGATGCCCTCCTCTAGGAGGGACGGTATCAGGTACGGACGGAAAGCACTGCCCACAGGCCTGGCACGCCAACAAGCCCCCTGGCCGTTAGGATCAGGAACCCCAGAGCCCCCACTTTCTAGCTGTGTGGCCTGGGCACAATCTCTTAGCCTTTCCGACAGTGCTCTTGCCTGAAAAAAATGGGAATAACCGTGCTTAAAACAAGGTTTATCGTGAAGATAAAGTGCAACCGTGCACGTAGAGGTTTCGCTCACAGCCTGGCACACAGGTGGTGCTCAGCAGGGACTGGCGGCCACTCCTCTACAGGGGGACGTCTGAGTTAGGCCTGCTTTCAGGAGTAACTCGTTTCCACGTCAGGGAGACATTAGCAGAGCGTCCCGGCTAAACAGCTTAACCAGACCCATTCATTATCAAGTTGAAAACTACGAGGGATTGATGCTATTAATTTTCTAGCCCACGGCTCTGAGATGATATGGCCCAAGAATCAGTAATTATAATACAGGAAGAACGAGCCCAAATTTGCTCGGCTCTCCCGGGGCTGTCTGTAAGCCATCCCAGCAGCAGTGGCGTTACAAGTGTTCAGTTGCCAAGGCCGTCAAAGATTGCAGGAGAGGCAGAACCAGCCTAATTGGTGCGCTAGGCTCCTGAGCCTGCTAAGACAACAAAGGCCTGGTCCCCCGACAGGGTGACACTTCCTCTCGCTGCCTGCGAGCTGGGCTCAGCCGAGCCACCAGCTTACGCCGTTGATGGCTGCCTGGGCCCTGGGAAGTGTGCCGTGGCCCAGGAGTGCAGCATGTAACCCTCCTCTCTCTCCCCTGGCCCAGATGACGAGCCCTTACTCGCTGCCCTACCTCCTCTTCTTGCCGCCGGGTGCCTGTTTTCCTGTGCTGGACACAGAAGAGCCTGCGGACGCCGTGGGTAGCATCGGAGGCGAAATATGCTGGGCCGACCTGGCAGGGGGACGCCACTTCCCCTGGGGCTCCCCTGGGTGGCCGAGAGCGCCACACCCACACGCCCTGCTCGCCATGGCCAAGGAGCCACCGACGTTGGGCAGAGCGTGTGCCGGCTTCGCGTTGAGGCTCGGGAGGGAGCAGGACGATGGTAGTGGGGCCACCGGCTTCCTTCTGGGTGACGGCGAGGAAGCTGGTGGCCTGTTAGGGACCCTGGCAGAGGAGCTCAACGGCTACAGTAGGGAGAAAGGCGGCTTCAGCTTCCGCTTCGGCCAGGGACGGAGGGGCCATAGCACCCCGGAAAGGGCTCCTCCGCGACCCGCCCCCCGCCCTCCCCCCCGCCGTTTCCATTCCCATCTTCTCCTCGAGCCTCAAAGACCAAGACGCTGAGAAGGTGTAGGTATTAGTATAATGAATTATCACAGGAATTATACTAGCAGTGGGTTTGGTTAGGTGGGTGCTTACTTTTGATTTCCAACTTTGCTGAAGCAAAATTCTGGATGGTGTCAAAAAGGAGGTGACCAAAACCAAGTCCCAGTCAAGAAGAGAACACTGCTGCTGGTGTAGCTCCCCGGCGGGCTGTTGTGTTTCGGCCCCGTCCGCTGCGGGGATGGCTCTGAGCAGTCCCCTGGCCGGGGTGGCATGGAGCTGAGGATGCCCGAGGATGCCGTTGGGCCGTGAACATGAATAGGCAGAGCTGGCCGTGCTGGCCCCGAGTTGAAGGTTGGTGGACTGAGCGATTACAGTGGGATAATCAAAGTTTTGACCACCTCCATGGGGACGTCAGTGGTTGACATCCAAAGTGCAACTGTGAGCGAGCACGTTCCGCTGGGCACAGAGTATGGTTCTGAAAGTTAACAATGGAAAAGAGAAATCTTGTTCTCCATTCCATTAACACAACACCCCCCTGGCAAGAAAACCTCATCCCGCTGGTGTTGAGATGCCATTCGGAACCACCTGCCCATCCCCTTCTGACAACTCTCCTTCTCGGTGGTGCAGCATTTGCCAAGCCAAGAGTCCCGTGGGAGATGAACGAGGAAGGAATACATTTTTGCTGTAGCAAGGTTGCATTTCCAATGTTCAGACTATGAATGTGTTGTATCTTTTGAAATAAAAGTGGTAACAACTGCAAAACTGTAATGGAAAGCCCGCCTGACTCTTGGCTACAGGTCCTCTGTGCCCCAGGAACTTCGCTTTCCTGAGCTGCAAGTGCCTTAACTTTGGGGAGATGGAAATCGTGTTGCATGTACCCACACACTGCTCCCAGCATCCCCTTAATTGGCAGTTGGTAAAATACCCATGGCCAAAAGTATAGGGAAACACACACAAAGTGCATTTCCCCCTCCCACTAGATTGCTCTCTCCCTGGTTTTCTCTAAGCAGGGAGCATTCTGAAAACAACTTCTCTACCCTGAGGGAAGCCGGCGCTGGGCCTGGAGTGGCAGCAGCCCGGTGGGGGGGTGGGGGTGGGCAGAGCACCTCTTTCAAGCGCTGCTTCGGTGTGTCCTGCATCCCATCCCGAGTCAGATCCAGCAGCCTGATGCTGTTCACTCCTAGGCTGGCTTCAACTGCTGAGATGAGAACCTGTATTGATGTTCCCATGGCAACATCTCCCCTCCTCCTTTAGAGCTATTGCTTGCCCCTGGTTCACAACTGAGTAATTTTCCATTGGGCTGTCACAATTAATTGGTAGATTTTTATTAGCCTTTTAGAACCACACCAGGCAGGGCCCAGCTTGGCACCTTGGAGCATTTCACAGTGTTTTCCATTCTATTAGAGACTTTTTTCCCCAGTAGCAGCTCTCAGTCCTCGACAGCCAGAAAGCCACTTCATTAAGGGGTGACGGATCTGAGCCACACAAGAGGCGGGCTGACTGGGGAGCAGAAATGGGCTGGAGAGATGGGACGGGAACACAGGAATCAGAACGTCACCTTATGCTGAGGCGAGCCATCTTCTCCTGGGGCTCCTCCCTGCTCCCCCCGATGCCTTGATATACGGGCCCTGGGGCTCAGGGCCGCTGTGACAGGGGCCAGACGGTGACACTGAGTCTGGGAGGCACATCATACTCTGTCCTCTGCCACTGTCGAGGAAGGGATGATCCAGGATGCCTCCTGCCAACATGACAGACAGGGGTGGGTCTTTGTCTGTTGGTGAAAGAGGCAAACACTCAGCCCTCCAGCCACGGAAGGCAAATCTCAAGAAAACGAGCCCCAGTGTGTCCATAAAGGACAGCCCTGGTGCTGAGACTGTGCACTACAGGGTGGCCGGATGAAGGAAGTACGGTCCCAGTTCAGGCTCTGAGCCAAGCATGTGCTCATTTCCACTCTGTTAAGGGCGGTGAGGGGGCAGCAACCTGGATTACCCCATCCCTTAGCTCATTTACACACACAAAGAAGCCAGAGAACGTGCTCACGAAAGACCAGGTGAAACAGAACAGACCAGAGGCCAAGGGCAGAGGGACGCCCTGTGGCAAGGTCCCCTGGCTGACGTTCTCTCGTCAACTTCTACTCTTAGGACAAAAGGAGCCGTCCCTGTGGTCACTAATTGTGAGAACTCGGAGGTCACCAAGGTGGAGACACTCCTGCATGTGTTTACAGCCACTCTGGGTATACACGGGCTGGTTTTTAATTTAGTAGGATTAGATTAGCCTTGATGGAGAAATCTGAGATAAAGCGGGGAGGGGGAGAGCCTTCAAAGCAGAGGATATCCTGTCATTAGTCTTTCATCATTGAACAGAAATCAACAACAAAGCTGTTCTTTCCAGTTGCTTGTATATTTGAGCTCAATAACCCTGGAAGGCAGAGCAATCAAACTGCTGAGGGCATTGATCTGTTAGATCCACTCCCACAACATTTGGCTAAATTTCCCCTTTACCACCTCCCCCCCCCCGCCCTCTCCACCCTACTGGCTCTGTCAAGGTTTGGGGGCCTCTCGTGCCACCCCACACCCTCGCTCTCTTCTCGGTGGGGAAGTTTACTCCCCAGATTAGTGAAGGTGAGGCTCTTCGGAAAACACTTCTTTTGGAAGCGGGGAGATGAAGCTCCCCGGGGCCGCCAGGTCCGCTCCACCTGGCGTGGCAGCGCTCTCTCCTCCAGCCCAGGCACCCGAGAGCTCTTTGCATTCGCCCATTTTATACATTCAAGACATAAAAAAGGCTTCATCTTGGTGTGTAGATCTCAAGGTATTTAGCTATTAAAACGGACGGCGAATATTTGTCTATGTTTTCTTGTATGTTTGAAATGTTAATAAAAACGTCTAAGAAAAAAAGAGATTCGCGTGGCCGGCAGGCCATCAGGGCACTGCTGTAGTAAACAAGAGGCCACCTCGTCCTAACTTGGTGCTGGTGCCCAAGATGCTGCACGACACACTCCACTGGAGACCCCAACCCAGGCAAGGGGCTTTCACCCTCCAGGCAGGGAGCTGGGGCCCCGCCCAAGATGGTGGGCGACCAGGAAGGAGGGCAGGCATGGGCAGGGGATACTGTGGTTGGGCAGTCTTATCCCACCTGATGTCTTCTGTACCGAGATGACACTTAGAAATCGATCCCCCAGAGCAGTCAGTTGGGGAACCCTGTCTATAAAATATCCCCGACACCCAAAAAGCTGGGCTAGCTGTAATTCTGAATTCTTCTCTTCCATGATGAAGGGAGGAGCCTGGCCCTGGAGCCCAGGTCTCTGCTAGTCATGCTGGGGCCATCTGGACCATCGACAAATTCATCTGGCACAGCAGATGTTAAGCTGGCACGTGCTGTGTGACCTCGGGCAAGTTGCTTCACATCTCTGAAGCCAGCTTTCTCACCCATTAAATGAAGACAGTGACAGAACCTCCCTCATTTAAACAAAAAAAAAGGTGTGGGTGTTCCACGTAGTAATGCAGAGCGCGTCTATAATATCTAAAAGCACTCACGTGTGAGCTGTAATTCTAAGAAAACTTTCATCGCAATATCACACACATCCGGAACGTGCCCCAATTCTAAGTGTAGTCTGATGAGTGTTCACCCAGTGACACACCCATTAGCCAGCACCACCCAGACTAAGCAAGAGGACATCACCTGCCCCCAGAGCTCCCTTGTGCCCCGACCAGGCACGAGCCTCCTTCCCGCACCCCGGTCACCCGCCCCCTGACTTCTACACCAGACTACATGCCCGTTGAAGTACATGGGAGCCGACGCATTAGCATGTCGCCTGGCGGCTGCCCGGCATGACACACCACGGAGTGGGGCGAGTTTGTCCCACCCCACTGCTCCCCGACATTCCACGGAGTGAACACCCCGCACGTACCTATCCTCCCTGCTCTTCATGACCTTGTTTCCCGTTTGGGGTTCTTCAGTGTTTGGGGTTCTTTTTTGTTATGTATATATATATTTTAACATCTTTATTGGAGTATAATCGCTTTACAATGGTGTGTTAGTTTCTGCTTTTTAACAAAGTGCATCAGCTGTACGTATACATATATCCCCGTATCTCCTCCCTCTTGAGCCTCCCTCCCACCCTCCCTATCCCACCCCTCCAGGTGGTCACAGAGCACCGAGCTGATCTCCCTGTGCTATGCGGCTGCTTCCCACTGGCTATTTCACGTTCGGTAGTCAGAAAGAGCAAGTGTTTTGTTAGCACTCTGGCGCTCGAGGCTTGTATTTTGCGGTAGCACCAACAGAGGGGGGGCTGGGCCCTCGGGTACTCACTCCTCGGTTCTGCACCTTGAGGGCGGGACTCAGAATCCTCTGAACACCGTCGTGTGCGCACACGGGTACGTCTTCCTGGGGCTAAATCCGCAGTCCTCATTTGGTCCTCAAGGGTTTCTCTGACCTAAAAGCAGGTTAAGGACCACTGTCCTAGAATGGCTAGACCCAAGGAAGTTTCTTGGGCTCGGGTGACAGTCATGGAAGATTCTCCCTTTGGAGAAGAGTCTTCTAAGACCCTTATTTCACACCGGAACAGCTGCCGAGGTGGCTAGCGTGTACACGAGGCTGCGTCCCGGCCTCACCACGTGTGAGCTATGGCTGGACAAGTAAACTCCAGTCATAGAGCGTGGGGAAAACGGGACAACGCACCCTGCCTAAGAGGCTGCTGTGAGGCTTCCGTGAAGGGTCCACGTCAGTGTGGCTGTCAACATAATCGCTCTACGCCCTCTTTCAGATTGCGAGCTGTCACTCAAGGGAAGAGCGCGTTGCCTGTGGAAAAGCCCTGGACTCGGGAGGTCTGGTGTCAAGTGATGGTTCAGCCACTAACAGACTCTGCGGCCTGGGCCTGGGTCCTGCCTCTGTGAGACGAGGGGAGAAACGGGTCCCGGGGGCCGTCTGCAGCTCCGGCTCGAGCGCGCCGCCCGACGTGCAGCACAGCCGAGGTGCAGCCGCCGAGGTCTCCGGGGAAGAGGCTTCACGGAACCGTGTTC